GACCTTTGCGAGCAACCGCCATCAAGCTACCTTGTCTGTCGACGTCGATCAACAAGCTATTCACATCAAATATACATGTATCATCACCAAGGCTATTGGAATAGCTCAATGATCCCATCCCTCGTCTAGATTACTTTAGATATTGTCGATCGAGATGTTTGATCTTTACTTGATAGAGTAACGAAATCGCCGTCAAGGGATTGGTCGGTCAATGTGCTCGCTGAAGAGTGCGCACAACTCGGGCATTGAAAGGCCAGCGTGGTGCCACATCGATATCATGTGTAGGGACGTGGCTTTGTCCAAGTTCCTGGCCCTGTGGCACGCTCGAATGGAAACTGCTCAAACTCATAATCGCTTTGGTCCAAGTTAATGACCACCATTCTTCCATGGCACTTGGGGCATAGGTACGAGGCAGAAGCCACTCTCCCTCCAGCTTTGATCCTTGATGAAGGCCCAATCATTGTCCAAACGTCGTACTTGGTACCGGACCGGGATGAACTACTTTATACAGGCAGCACTCAACATCAAATGGTAACCAACACATTATTATTATCCCAGTATTTATGGTTGTTTGGGGGATGTTGAAGATCGACACAATCATGCAGGTGTACGGTGGGGAGCTGTGGATGAAGTATGAGCAGCCCAACCGACCTCTCACAGGACCATCGTGGCAGGTTGTTATCACCACCTGCAGGCTTCGGCCTGCGTTATAAATATTTATTTATTATTAAGTTGATCGATCTCTTGCCTGAGCTTCTCAATAATACATTGTTGTTGTTTGATCAATATCTCCATCTCGGACACTGAGAGCACCTGACCGAACAGCTCACTTTTTAGAATATCAGCTGCTGAAGGTCTATCATCTGGGTTCACGGTGGTCATTGATTGTACAAGTTTGCAAACCACTGGATAGGTCTCCAAGAATGACTTTGGCAGTACACCATTGCGCAGTTCAGCCAAAACACGAGCCTTTTCCATCTTTGTTGAGAAGGTGGAGTAGAGTTCGAAAAGTATAATACCCAGGCTGTAGATGTCTGTCTTTTCGTTATAGAGACCTTTCTTTTGCTCAGGACTGCTGTATGTGAGAGTTCCAACGGCATTGGTATGCTTAAAATGCTCAGAAGAACTTCTGTTAAGGATGTTGGACTTCGGACCGATTGAAGGGGCTGGGGTTGAGGTTGATAGGATGTATTGGCTGTCTGTCAAGAGATCGGTTTGGCGGCATTGGAAGTGAGAATCCAGTGGTGGTGGTGGTGCGTAGGAGAAGGACATATTGTTGATAGGTAGTAGTGAAGGGGTAGAGGATGAAGTAGGTGATGGAGTAGGAGAGGAAAATGAAGGGTTCTGGTGTGTGGCAAGACCATAGTCACCAAGGGAGACTAGATACTCCCCAGTGTTTTCATCGTCTGCACTGCCCATTTGGGTGCGATCAATGAAGATGTTTCCAGGCTTCAGATCGCGATGAATGATGCCTTTCGAATGTATATATCGAAGGCCCATGCAAATCTGCTTAAAAATGAGGAGTGAGTCGATTGGATTGATATCTTGACGACTATCCAGCCATTTGGACAGAGTTTGACTGTACAGCTGCATCACTATGAACAGTGTGGATAGAGTTGAGTGTGACTTTGGTGGTGAATGTTGTTTGTTGTTGTTGATGCTGCTCTGTGCCATTGAAATTGGAGGAGTTGATGATCTTGGGATTGATAGAGGATTTCCTTGTTGTTGTTGTTGATAGAGGTAGCAGTCAGAGTCGTCATAGTTTGGTGTGTAACTTGCAGATCTCTCGGCAGAGTCTTCATTGTCCCTACTGAAACTAGTATTGTGCTTCTTGGGTGCTCGGAATAGTCCAGTTCCAGTTGAGCTGTCAGAGTCTTCATCAGAGTCTTGGTGGATGATCCTCTCAGGCCTGATGCTCTTTTGAAATTGCTGCATATCTTCCATCTCTGGTGGGAATTGAAGTCTATTCAGACTGCTATCAAAGTCCTCCTCATCTTCAAGGGAAAAGTGTGCGTAGTTGGCACAAGACTTGGGCATTACGATCTCTAATGACTCTGAAGTTCCCCAATTCCCATCGACCAAGTCCAATATATTGTTATTATTATTATTATTATTGATGGTGATGATGTTGTTGTTGTTGTTGTTGTTGTTGTTGTTGTTGTTGTTGTTGTTGTTGTTGACGATTGAGGAGAACTCAGCCCTTGAACTGGACAAGTTTATGGGATAGTCTTCGGTCTCGATCCACGCTGAATGATATCGTACAATATTTACATGCTTGAGGAAGGCAAGGGTTTTAACCTCGCGTAGCACCTTCTCTAGAAAGGTATGAGAAGTTCCTCTAAAGGGAATCTTCTTTAGAGCATAGTAGAGTCCATCTAAACGATTCTGGACCTTGTACACTGAACCATATCCTCCCTTGCCTATTCGCTCTACTTCACAAAAATCCTCTTCGTATCTTGATCTCCGTAGTTGTGCATATCTTGATTTATCTATAGCGTTATATTGTTGTTGTTGTTGTTGTTGTTGTTGTTAGTTG